GAGACCAAATTTGACCATTTCAGCTAATAATGGAGAAACTTTATCAGCGACATAACAGTTTTGTTGGTGCATCTTTTTGGATTGAATTGCCAACATCTTGTTGAGAATGCAAGACAAAGTTGTATAGGTCTGTAAATTTACTACTTTTTGTAAGGATGCTGAAACCGATGGCCCGAATTCACAAAGGAGGTTTGAGCTCAAACCTTGGTTTTCGTACGTCATATGACGCGTTTTACGCGTTTTTTACAAACCTGGTTTGTAAAGAACAAAAGGAGGTTTGGCGAAACAAAAGGAGGTTTGAGCTCAAACCTTGCTTTGTGAATTCGGGCCAATGTGTGTGCTGCCAAACTCTCTTATAACCTTGTCTTCCATATTCATAGACCCTTAAATTTGAGTATTCATATTTGCCTGTTAATAATTCATATCAACTAATTTCTATCAGTTTATTGTAAATAGCTTTTTGTAGATTGTTCATGTGTTTTGTGTTGATTTTATATTTGAAGTAAGATGCAAGGTCCAATGCAAGGCTTCTGGGAAATCTTGACCTGCCCACTAAATCTTTGGTCGATCAAAAGGACAATTTTGTACTCGGATTTAAAGGGGAAATCTACCCTAGAAATTTCACTGCTTCAATCAAAGGAGACAAATTTGAACAAAATTAAAAATAAGAAATGGGCAAACTCGGTAAGGAAAACAAAGTAAGGAAACTACACTTTTTTTACATTTTCTAGTAAATTACTCTCGGCTATTCAAATTGACAATGCTGATGACATCTTGAGTAGCTCTAAATTCACTTTGTACACAAAATTTCACATTTTCTAACCCCCATAGTCAAAGCATGTTGTCTAGAAAGCTATTCGTCATTAGTAATCTGAACATACTCCGATTAAAAGCTGTGGAAATGTGTAACTTTAAGGAAAATTTAGAAAATATGAATGTACAAAGTTGATGGATAGCTACTCACAGTTGGTGTCATCATTGTTGCCAATTTGTAGAGCTGAAAAGAGTGTAGTTCCCTTGTGTTTTTTTGCCGTACTTTCACTTGAAATGTGACTTCTTAAAATAGTCACATTTTTATCACTTGTAGAAGTTGATGAGAAAGTAAATACATGTACTCTTTTGAATAGTTATAATTTGCACCGGATGATGAAGCTAATCCTGGGTGGAGGCACATAGTTAAATCGGTTATTCACATGTATTTAATGATAATTTGTGACATTTTGTTAAAAGGTTCTGGTGAATTTATTCACATTGAATTTGATATAGTACACAAAAAATTAAATCCACTATTTGGTTTTACCAAAGATCAAGACTTATTGTAGAAAGATTTCTTAATCATTTGCTGGGGCATCTTTTTGGCATGAATTGCCAGGTTCTGTAAATAACTCAAATTGCTTTTATAAAGTGTGTTACCAAAGTTGCTATATGTGTGCTGCCAAATTATTGACACTATTCAAAGTATTCATTTTATCTTGCCTTGTATATTCATAGAGACATAGACCCGTGAATTATATGAGTATTCATATTTGCCAGTTAATGAGGCATATCTTCAACTCATCTATTATTTTCTTATGTTTTATTTGTAGATTGTTCATGTGTTATGTATCTATAGTTTTAAAGGGATAGTTTAGTATTGGTCAAACTTAACTTTAAAACCAAAACCTGCACCATCACGGTGCAAAGTAATAATTACAAACGGCCAAGTAAAGCCCCTGTTATTATCAAAATGACCTGTTACTTTCAGTTTCTGCATTTAATTTGTGTTAAAATACTAATTAAATATCTATATCCATTGCTTTTTAAAGAACTATTCAGATTTTTTTTCTTCAAAGTAGTCTTCAAGCATTTTTAATATTTTGAATAAAAATATATTTATGGATATTTCAGCCGTTTGTGAACCGATATTGATCAAAAAACAATTTATTCTGAATATTAGAATTGTATGTTCTTTCGGGGGCACTTCGGGAAATACCAATACTCTTTTTCAAATATACATGATGTACTGTATTGCCAAGCCTTTGTACATATTTTGTAAATATGTTTGATAATAAATTCATAAAATCAATCAAATACATGTGTGACCTAGCGTTTATTAAAAATTCACTGTATATTGGACGTTCTTAAAAGGTTTTCTGAACGTTCTTAAAACGTTTCCAGGACGTTCTAGACGTTCTTAAAAGGCTTACTGAACGTTTTAAAAACGTTTCCAGGACGTTCTAGACGTTCTTAAAAGGTTTTCTAAACGTTCTCAAAACGTTTCCAGGATGTCCTGGACGTTCTTAAAAGGTTTTCTGAACGTTTTCAAAACGTTTGCAGTACATTCTACACGTTCTTAAAAGGTTCTCTTGGACATTCTAGACGTTCTTTAAACGTCCTGGAAACGTTCTAGACGTTCCTAAAAGGTTTTCCGGACGTTTTTAAGGTTCTTAAAACGTTCTTAAAACGTCCCAAACGTCCGACAGGTTTTCTGCAGGTCCTTGCACTTAAAAGCAAATCTATAAAAGGTTTTTTATTGGTTCTAAAAACGTTTAGAAAACGTTCAAAAAACGTCCATTTGGAACGTTCCAAAAAACGTTTTCAACCTACCACAAATAGACGTCTTTAGAACGTTTTCACAAAACGTTTAGGAAACCAATTTGGAACCTTTTTAGAACGTTCAGAAAACGTCCAATTGTTACTTGGGTCCATAGACAAGTTCCGATGCACAACACCCCAAATCAAACTTCACTGCAGTACGAATACCTAACATGACAATAGGAAGTGTCTCCATCCAGCGTGTATTAGCATGAGCCTTGAGGGAGGACTTCAATTGTCGATGAAACCGCTCCACGAGCCCATTTTAAGCAGGATGGTATGCAGTTGTCCTGGTTCGTCTGCTCCCCAAGAGATTGGTGAGAGCTTGAAATAGATGCGACTCAAACTGACGTCCTCGATCTGTGGTTATGGTCGACGGAACTCCATACAAAGCAACCCAGTGAGCTATGAAAGCCTTGGCCACGGACTCTGCTGTAATATCCTTGAGTGGAATAGCTGCAGGCCAGCGAGTGAACCGGTCCATACATGTAAGCAAATACACATATCCTTCTGACGGAGGAAGAGGTCCTACTAGGTCAATATGAACATGATCGAACCTAGCATCAGGAGTGGCGTAGGTTCCTAACGGCGACTTAGTATGTCTATGAACCTTACACCGTTGACACTGAAGACAAGACTTTGCCCATTTCCGCACATCAGAGTTGATGCCAGACCACACAAAACGATCCGTAAGCAAACGACGTGTAGCCCGGATGCGACTTTACGTTTTACACTGTAGTTCCGTCATTTTCACGATAAGTGAGTAAAACCGGGCTGCAGCAAAGACTACATGTACAACTGGGCGTTGTGGCGTGCGCCTGTAATCCAAGCTGCGTGGGGAAGTTACGAATTGATTCAAAGGTTCAAATTTAAATACAAGTCAATAATATAATAAATTATTATGATTTCCATGAATATGATTTATCATTCATTTGATCATCTCTGATCAGTGCCCACTTATTGTTTGGAGATCATAATTTGTGCATCTTATTACATTGCTATTAATTTCGGAAATAATTTCAGGTTATAGCTCAAAACATGCACACAATTCAAATCTATTAATAAGGTTGTAGCATACGTAAACAATAAAACTGTAGCTGCTTGGAATAGCAGGCCGATGTGGAAATATAGACAAATGCTAGTTTAAAAAAGGCTATACCTTGAAGAGATTTTTCTTTTCATAAATATAACGTCAAGAATGCGAGAATAACCTGGCAAGTTCAGATCAGGCGCGCTGTTCATGAAGTACTAGTCTTTGCTGCAGCCCGGTTTTACTCACTTATCGTGAAAATGACGGAACTACAGTGTAAAACGTAAAGTCGCAGCCCGGATGCCTGGATGAGACATGTTATGCAAACTGTCGAAAACAGCGCGGCGATGCTGTTTGGGGACGTAAGGACGTTCATGTCCCGTTGAAATGTCACACCAAATCTGTCCATCTGAAGTAGGAAGAGGAACACGCTTAAATGACAGCGATGGAAGTTGGCGGAGACTATCGAGCTCTTCATCTGCTCCCTGAGCATCTGCTATAACCTTGAAATCAATGAAAGGCTTATCTGAATGTAGAGCACCGATATGACAACGAGAAAGGGCGTCTGCGGCTGTGTTGTCCTTCCCACTAATATGACGAATGTCAGAAGTATACTGAGAGACAAAATCCAACTGACGTATTTCCCGTGGTGAATGCCTATCTGGCTTGGAATTCAGCGCATACGTCAGAGGCTTGTGATCAGTATAAATCGTGAAATGACGACCTTCCAAAATGTGGCGGAAATGCTTGATGCCTAAATAACCAGCTAAGAGTTCTCTGGAAAACGTACTATACTTCGTCTCAGCTGGTTGGAATCGTTTGGAGAAGAACGCCAGAGGTTGCCATTGGTTATCAACATGCTGCTGTACTACTCCACCAACGCCGAAGTCAGAGGCGTCGACCACCAAGGACAATGGGGCACCAAGTTGCTGATGGACGAGAAGTGTAGAATCAGCCAATACCTCTTTCACCCTGTTGAATGCAGCAAAAGCAGTATCGTCAAGTGAAATTGGCTGGTTCTTACGTTTCTGATTTCTCAGAATGTCAGTCAAAGGCTGGAGCAAATCCGAGCAATGAGGGATAAAACGCCTGTAGAAGTTGACGAGTCCCAAGAAACCACGGAGCTGGCGAAGAGAAGAAGGACGAGCAAACTCACGAACTTCCTTCACACGCTCCTCGAGGGGTCGAATACCTTCTGCGTCAATGTGGTGTCCTAAGAAGACAAGGGAGTTCACACCAAACACACACTTAGCCGGATTGATCACCATTCCATAGTCATGAAGGCGAGTGAAAAGAAGTCGAAGATGCTCTTCATGCTCCTTCTCGGATGCACTAGCGACTAGTATGTCATCTATATACACAAAAATGAACGGCAAACCCCTAACTATCTCGTTCATCAAACGCTGGAATGACTGGGCTGCATTTCGAAGTCCGAATGGCATGCGTCAATGTGGTGTCCTAAGAAGACAAGGGAGTTCACACCAAACACACACTTAGCCGGATTGATCACCATTCCATAGTCATGAAGGCGAGTGAAAAGAAGTCGAAGATGCTCTTCATGCTCCTTCTCGGATGCACTAGCGACTAGTATGTCATCTATATACACAAAAATGAACGGCAAACCCCTAACTATCTCGTTCATCAAACGCTGGAATGACTGGGCTGCATTTCGAAGTCCGAATGGCATACGTGTAAACTCGAAAAGTCCAAAAGGTGTAGTTATCGCCGTCTTCGGTACATCAGCTGGTTCCACGGGAATCTGATGGTAGACCTTCACAAGATCTATTTTCGAGAAGATCGTCTTACCCGCCAATGATGCAGTGAAATCTTGAATATGTGGGACTGGGTACCGGTCTGGTACAGTCTGAGTGTTCAAGGCGCGATAATCTCCACATGGCCGCCAGTCACCTGGGGTAGATTTCGGGACCATGTGGAGAGGTGAAGACCAATTGCTGGATGAAGGTCTGATAATTCCAAGTTCCTGCATATGCTCGAATTCAGAGCGCGCAACCTTTAAACGATCAGCAGCCAATCGACGGGGACGAGAGTAAGCTGGTGGTCCGGTCGTAACAATATGATGTGTCACGGTATGCTTCACAGCCTTGTGATGAAAGTCCAGATGAGTTATGTCGGGAAACTCTCCCAAAATGGCGGCATACCTATCACTACCTTGACTTGATGGTTGTGAAAACATAGGGCTGACGACTTGTGTGTGACGTGGAGCACGAATGCCATTGATCATGAGTCTCGTTGTGGAATCGAGGAGTCTCCGATGACGAACATCCACCACGAGGCCAAACTTATTCAAAAAATCTGCCCCAATGATGGGTATAGGGAGGTCTGCAACCCAAAAAATAAAACGAAAAGTCCGTCTAAGGCCCAAATCCAAAGTAAGAGAACGCTCACCATATGTAGGAATCTGTGTCTTGTTGACAGCCTGGAGAAAAATGTCTGACTTGGAAAGTTGTCGCCTATCCTGGGCTGTAGGTGGAATGACACTGACTTCCGCCCCGGTGTCAACTAGGAATTTGGTGCCACTGGCCTTATCATGAATGAAGAAAAGGCGACTAGAGTGTGGAGTGCCCAAGGAAGTAGTCGCCCCTATTCCCGGGCTGCGTCGTTTCCCGAAAGAGGTCGATGACTCGATGAACAAGGACTGACACACTTGCGGGCCTTGTCACCGTATGCCCAATGATACCAACACTCACTGCCATCATGGTCCAGGTGACGGCTAGGACTTCTCGACTGAGATGGGCGTCGTCTTGAAGGGTTGTTACCTCTACCGGCTCTAGAGTTGCTGCGGCTACGCCGATCATCTAACGAAGAAGTCAGCGCTTGAACTTGGACAGACAGCTGTGCGACTTGTGCTGACAAGCGCTGGACTTCATCAGTATGAGAATGCGACCTAGATTGAGTTGGAAGAACATGGGTAGGACTCGAAGGGCGAGGAGTTAGTACACTAGTGCTAGCAACCGAAAGAGGAGACGCAACTTCCAAAACCCGGTCTGCCAAATCAGCTAAATGTTGAATGTCCATTGTATCTGAACAGGAAGCCAACACCACCCTAACACTACTGGGTAATCGCTGCAGGAATAACTCTCTCAGTATACTCTCCTCTAAAGCCGAGTCTCCGAGCAACTGCCGCATCCGGCGAAGGAGCTGTGAGGGTTTCCTATCCCCAAGTTCTTCGGCGATTAAAAGCTGATGTAGGCGCCTCTGCTCGGAATCGCTAGTACGCTTAATAAGTTCCGCCTTCAACTTATCATACCGGTCTTGGGCTGGAGGAGAAATGATAAAATCTCTCACCTCCTGGGCTATCTCGGGTTGTAATGATGAGATTACATGAGCATACTTAGTCTCCTGTTGAGTGATTCTCGACCTTGTCAAAAACTGGGCCTCAACCTGCGCGAACCACAAGGCCGGGTCGCCAGGCCAATATGGGGGAAGCTTCAAACCAAAAGCTGTGACGGATGCGCCTTGAGTGGCTGGCGCCGAGTCAACATTACTAGAAACTGAATTCCCAGGACCAGGTTGCTCCTTATCGTCGTTCATAATGACAAACAGATAACGAAATTCCCATGAAAATAGATCACGTCGGGGTCACCAATGTAGAACCAAAGTACAGGTTCAACTAAAATTAAATAGACGTGAGAAAAGAAAGTGGTATTGTGATTTGAACTCACCGGAAAACTGGAATTAAGGAGACTGGAAATGATACAAAACTTGAATTGTCTTCTCGACAAATTCACTACGTAGTCTCGACGATGAAACACTCGGTCAATTCAACAAGGCAAATGCAATACACAATCTTATCGGAAGCTTCGACGAGAACCGAAACTATCAGGAATATATATACAATAAATGTGCTCAGAAACAAAATGGCTGCCCCTGGCTAGCCCAAGCGTAAACCGAAGAAAAAGAATGAATAGCCTACTTGGCGAATTAACAAATGAAGACTCGTATTTAATCCAGCGAAGAAAAGAAATACTACCGCAGACGATTAAATAGACCGAGAAAAATACAACGTCGCACAAATCGTACGCGATATGTATGAAGTAATATAAGGAAAACTAGCAGGACCCGCGGAAATCCGCGGGATTCTAGAGGGGGCGGGGGTGTAAATAGATATATAGAGACTGCATAGAGACTGTCTAAATTAAAACCACCAAGAACTTTATTTGCCATTCAGGCCATTAAAAAAATATACACGTTTAGCGTCCCCGCCGGCTTCCTTTTTGGGGGCCGCCTCCTATTATTTTTTTTTGAATTTTTTTTATTTTTTTTAAATTTTTTTAAAGAAAAAAAAACAGCGTCCCCGCCTGCTTCCTTTTAGGGGGCCGCCTCCCATTTTTTTTTTTGAAAGAAAAAAAACATGAAAAGCACCGCTAAAATGTATTTCTGATTTTAAAAAAGAAAAAAAAAAATAGTCGGCCGCCATCTTGAAAAATAGCTCGAATGTCAGGGAAAATGTACGGAGCGGCCATTTTGAAAGAAAAAAAAAAGGGCCTCCTCCTTCCCATTTTTCGAAAAAACAGGACGCTAAACATGTTTTTTTTTAATTTGGCCTTATATAAAAAAAAAAAAAAATGATCCAACTGTACCGGTAGTTATTCTTTAAGCCACTGGAACTGCGTAGAGTTCCGTATTTTGGGTACCGACTACGCAGAAATTCGGCTGCGTAGTAATGGGAAAAAAAGTCCCTGCGTAGGTTATGCGTAGGCTGGCGTACAGGTTTGCTTATGGTTGCTTACTGTGTGGAAAGCTTTTACTGCTTAGTCGATCTGGCGTAGGGTAGCGTACTGTTGCGTAAAAAGGCGTACTTTCTGCGTCAAGTTTCTACGCCGAAAGTACGCGAAAAAAATTAAACATGTTGAATTGTTTTCGTTCACCTTGCGTACCCCTTTCCATCTCTCAGCATATAGTAACGTAGGCCATTGTAGTTGGTACGCAACACTACGTATTGACCCCACGCCAATTAGTGACCCCGAGTGTCACAAAGTATTAAAAATATGCTCATCTGACCTTAATTAAACGCCTAAAACCCCCGAGCTTTCGGGGGTTTATGGCCCCTTGAAACCCGTGGACCCCACGCCTATATTATATATACACTCATCTCGCTGCGATCTGATCTCTCCCCCCCCCCCCCCCAACTTTGAAGGACGTAACCCCCGAGCTTTTGGGGGTTTATGGCCCTTTAAACCCGTGGACCCCACGCCTATATTATATATACACTCAACTCAGTACACGCGGAAATCCGCGGGATTCTAGAGGGGGGCGCAGGCAAAAAATTAAGTTTTTCATGTCGGGGGCTCCATTTCAAATTTTGGGGAAATTTTTCGGGGGCTACTTTTTCAACTTTCGGGGGCTCTTTTTTCTGGGGCTACTTTTTCATTAATTCATAAAAAGATGGGCCTACACTTTGTTGAGATTTGTTTAGTAGGCTAAGGTTTCAGGCTTCCTACTTCATAATTGCCTATTTAAAAAAAAAAACATTTTTCTAGTTCAATAACTAAGTTTTCATGCATTGATTTGATGCAAGAACTGTAACATAATAGACCCTAGATTGTGATTATTTCTGACCATGAATTTCGATAATCATTTTTCAAAGTAAAATTTTCACAAGAAAATCAGACAGTCGTTTAAAAACGTAGACATTAGTAATACTTTTACTAATTCTAAGCTCAGGTTTCGTAAATCTATTCACGAAACTATATTGAAATCGCGGCAATAATGATGCAAACCAACATTTTTCTAGTTCAATAACTAATAATAATAATAATAATAATAATAGCCTAATAGTCCACTCCAAATTTTATTAATTTATAAATTTATTAATTTATTAATTTATTAATTTATTAATTAATTTATTAATTTATTATTTTATAAATTTTATTGCATTGATTTGATGCAAGAACTGTAACATAATAGACCCTAGATTGTGATTATTTCTGACCATGAATTTCGATAATCATTTTTCAAAGTAAAATTTTCACAATAAAATCAGACAGTCGTTTAAAAACGTAGACATTAGTAATACTTTTACTAATTCTAAGCTCAGGTTTCGTAAATCTATTCACGAAACTATATTGAAATCGCGGCAATAATGATGCAAACCAACAATTTCAAAGTGTCAAATCTCTTCGACTCAGCTCAGGTGAACTCACACACACTACAGCGTAACTCCAGAGCTCGAACACCGGCGCCGCAGGCGTCGGACGCCTACGGTGCGCGGTGCCGGTTAGGAGCTTCCTGCAAGCTCATTTCAACTCACACACCGCACACAGCAGCATTGCACTGTGTGTTGACTGAAGGCAGCTTGCGATTGAATTGTCAGTCCAATGGTTTTCTTGTGAAAACTTTCCTTTAGAAAATGATAATCAAAATTTAGTTAGCATGGCCGTAATAATCACAAAATAAGCTTTTATTTCATACCTCCATTCACGAAAACTATATACAAATCGCGGCATTCATGACGGAAATGGGTCTCTAAGTTTGGACGTCGACGGGAAGCCCCGTGTAGCGCTACTACAATGGATATCCTATAGAAAGATGCTTTACTCGGGTAATCCCGACCCTGTCCATCGTGCATTTAATACGCAACTTAATGTGAGTGGATGGTCATCGGTCGTGTGTCTACGGATGTCATGTTGAATATCCATGAGGTATCTCTGTCGTCACGCATATCCTGCATTATGCATGTCGCGTCTGTTTTCGCCCTGGACGTCGACACGGAGGAGGACCTCGGGCGGAGTATAGCCAATTCGCTAGAGTAGACTCTCCCGCGGACGACGGCACCGGTCACCGGTACCCCGAGGGGAGGGTTCAGGAGGAGATAGCCGCACCAACTTGGGTCGGCGATCTCATTAAAAAACAATAGAATACAAAGGCTGGCGGAGACGTCGCGCCCCCCGCGGAGCCTTAGCGTATTACTATTATAGACTAGCAGGACCCGCGGAAATCCGCGGGATTCTAAAGGGGGGCGGGGGGGTGTAAATAGATATATAAAGACTGTCTAAATTAAAACCACCAAGAACTTTATTTGCCATTCAGGCCATTAAAAAAATATACATGTTTAGCGTCCCCGCCCGCTTTTTTTAAAAATATTTTATTTTTTTATTTTTTTATTTTTGAAAGAAAAAAAACAGCGTTCCCGCCTGCTTCCTTTTTGGGGGCCGCCTCCTATTTAAATTTTTTTTTTTTTTTTTTTTTTTTTTTATTATTTTTTTTTTTTTTGAAAGAAAAAAAACATGAAAAGCACTGCTAAAATGTATTTCTGATTTTAAAAAAGAAAAAAAAAAATTGTCGGCCGCCATCTTGAAAAATAGCCTGAATGTCAGGGAAAATGTACGGAGCGGCCATTTTGAAAGAAAAAAAAAAAGAAAAAAAGGGCCTCCTTCCCATTTTTCGAAAAAACAGGACGCTAAACATGTTTTTTTTTTAATTTGGCCTTATATAAAAAAACAAAAACGATCCAACTATACGGGTAGTTATTCTTTAAGCCACTGGAACTGCGTAGAGTTCCGTAGTGTGGCGTACCGACTACGCAGAAATTAGGCTGCGTATTAATGGGAAAATAGTCCCTGCGTAGGTTATGCGTAGGCTGGCGTACAGGTTTGCTTATGGTTGCTTACTGTGTGGAAAGCTTTTACTGCTTTGTCAATCTGGCGTAGGGTAGCGTACTGTTGCGTAGTCATGTAGCGTAGTGTTGCGTAAAAAGGCGTACTTTCTGCGTCAAGTTTCTACGCCGAAAGTACGCGAAAAAAATTAAATATGTTGAATTGTTTTCGTTCATCTTGCGTACCCCTTTCCGTCCCCCAGCATATAGTAACGTAGGTCAGCGTAGTTGGTACGCAACACTACGCAACTCTACGTATTGACCCCACGCCAAATAAAGTATTGAAAATATGCTCATCTGACCCTAATTAAACGCCTAAACCCCCGAGCTTTCGGGGGTTTATGGCCCCTTGAAACCCGTGGACCCCACGCCTACACTCAACTCGCTTCGATCTACCTGATCCCCCTCGCCCCCCCCCCCCCCCACACTTTGAAAAAATGTTTTGTGGGGTCTCCATGTAACATGTAAGATGCAGATTTTTTTTGTAACATGTAAGATGCAAAAAAAAATATTTTGCCCCCCCCCCCCCCCCCCCCCCCCCCCCCCTCCCCCCAACGATCTTATGGCACTTCGGCCTGCCCGCTGTTGTGTTCACGTGTAGGCCTACTTCAATGAATAACACAAATACACTTTGGGCGACCTTCCACGCAAGCCGCCGTAAGTGGCGCTACAGTTGGGGGGCAGCTGGGGGGGCTTCTGGATAGCACCTGAATGGGAAAGTTGAATGAGCGAGAGCTCGTTCGTACTTAGGCCCGCATCTACTGGCGGTGTGGTGAGAGTGCCTCCGTACCGTAAGATCGAACTCACAACTCTGCTCCAGCTAGCTAAAATTCCTTGAATTATTTATATTCTAACTCTAAATCATTCCGTCTCTCACTCTCTTCAATTCAATAAAATCATCTGCATGTTAACATACACGATAATGAATATGTGGGACACCGTTACAACGGCGTCTCCCAAACTTCGATTGCCGAAAACGCACGCAAAACTCGCCAATGACGGACATCATCTACCCATTCATCCATCGTAAATGAAATAAATTTAGACAAAATGAAGTTGAAATGTCCGAAAGCGGCAAGGAATAATAAGTGGTTTGTCTGTGAGAAAGCAATGATCGTTGCATGCAAGATGAAAGCGCAAGCTGATAGAAGCCCCCCAGCGTGTAATGATAAACGTAGAGGGCTCACATCCATGAAAATTCGCCCGTATCGGTGTATAGCTAGCTCACTCACTCACTCAGCTCAGTCGAGCAGCCAGCGCAGCTAGCTGCACTGCACTACACACTGTATGCGTACGGCAGAGCTCTTGAAACTGAACTATGTTTTTCTCTGATTTTCTTGTGAAAACTTTCCTTTAATAAATGATAATCAAAATTGAGTAAACATGGCCAGAATAATCACAAAATAAGCTTTGATTTCATACCTCCACTCACGAAAACTATATAAAAATCCCGGCAATAATGATGGAAATAGGTCTCTAAGTTTGGACGTGGATGGGAAGACATCTGTTGCGCTGATAAGCTAATAAATATCAAATAAAGACTCGACTCATTTAAATTTTAAATATGAGGTCTACATTTTAATCAAAATTTAAAAAATGGTAAAGATTACAACATCTAAAATATACAAAACAAACACGGGGAAGAAAAAAAAAACACTTGAGACGGAGGCGGGATCGAACCCGTGCGTGCAAAAAGTGCAAGAGCTGCCGGCGAATCGAACGCAACCGGCGCCTCAGACCGCTCGTCCACTTCCGTTTCATGCTAAAGCATGAAATTCGTGACGCATAAGTGGGACGTGCGGACGCATCGACGACGTCGACGACGACCGGGACGTCGCACCGGGCCGGGACGTGGCCAATTCCGTAGATTGAAACCCCGTCCGTCCGCGGGACCGTCCGGCGGCGCCCGGGGGCGGGCGGGAGGGGAGATTTGGGCGCCGTAAAATGGACCCCGGATACCCCCCTCGACGCCTTAGCGTATTATTATATGGACTAGCTGTTTGCGCCCGTTAAACGGGCGCTCTTTGCTGTGGCAGCCATTTTGCGTTCGTCCGCGGCATCAAACTTTTCAGCCTTTAGCTTCCGTAAAGATTGACATATATAACAATTCTATTTACAATTGTATTTATAATTGATTTCATCATGAAATAAGCTAATAAATATCAAATTAAGACTTGACTGATTTAAATTTAAAATATTATATTTTAATTAAAAATAAGCTAATAAATATCAAATAAAGACTTGACTGATTTAAATTTAAAATAGACCTATTATATTTTAATTAAAAATATTGATTGATATTCATAAATTTCTGTGTTTGCGTGGCGAGCTTCTTTTCGGTCATTTTCTTCGCGTACGCAAGAAATACAGCTCCGTTATTCATGAATGAGGTATCAAGTTGACCGGGATCATTGTCCGAATACCTGTAAGAAACGTCAATGAAATATATCAACCGGTTCAATTTAAAAAAATAAAAATTCACTTCAGCTCAGAAAATACAGCATCTGCTGCAATTACGGCCGGTTTTAAGCCCCAGAGTTCTGGAGAAGAAAAGGGCTAGAGATAGCTATGATTACTGATTAATTTTTTCCATTAAACATCACATCCTATTTCTACTACATCACATAGATCTATATAGTCTATATAAGGTCTAGGCCTAGAATCTAGACGATTTTTATAACGCTGTTTGACCATGAATGACGCACCGTAATACCCGTTTTAATGCATTGATTTGATGAAGGAACTGTATCATAGTAAAAGTATTCTATCCAGCTATAGACAATGCCAATGGCTATGTTTTTAAACGACCGTCTGATTTTCTTGTGAAAACTTTACTTTGAAAAATGATTATCGAAATTTAGCATACAACTATACATGGACAGAATAATCACAATCTCAGCTCAGGTTTCATACCTCTATAGTCACGAAACTATATTGAAATATAGGGGCAATAAGAGCAATTTCAAAATGTTGTCGAGTCTACTCTATAATAGCTCAGCTCAGCTCACCTCACCTCACACACAGTCACAGTTCCGACAGTGCTCGCCAGCAGTGGCGCACTGCACTGCCCGTGCCTCATGGCAGCTAGCTTGCAACTTAACTGTCAGTTACGATGAATTTCTTGTGAAAACTTTACTTTGAAGAATGATTTTCAATATTCAGTAAACATGAACAGGATAATACCAAAGTAACCCTGCTTGCATACCTCTATTCACGTAAACTATATATAAATCACGGCAATCATCATAGAATCAAAGACGAAGCGACTGAGCTGTGCGTACGTGTGACGGTGAGCGTAGAATCATCGCATACATTATACACGTACGTTCGTACACGCAGCAGGTCCGGCTGGCCTACAAAGCATATCATATAAAAAGACGCATAACACGGGTAAGCCCAACCCGTGAGAGCGTGCATTTCTTACATCCCCTCACCCGGGTGAGTCATCTGTTAATGTGTATTTCTCTTACATGCTACAAAGCGTATCCTATAGCAAGAGGCCTAAACTCGGGGTAAGCCACAACCGTTACTACGTGATGTGCTACATCCACTGACAGAGTAGATTCTCGTCCGCTGTGTGTCTCTTTGTTGATTGCACAGAGGGCGGATGCACGCCTTGCCGACTCGCTCTCGCGGGTTCGTCGCCTCCTTGCAATCCGCGACGCCCGCCGTGCCCTCGTCCGCCCGTCCTCCCCGGGACCCCGAAACCGCCTTTATCGACGTCGACGGCGACCGCGACCGAAGATCGAACGGGGACGTGGCCAAATGGGTAGATTAAAACGTCGTCCGTCCGCGGGACCGCCCGGCGGCGCCCGGGGGCGGGCGGGAGGGGAGATTTGGGCGCTGTAAAATGGACCCCATATACCCCCCTCGACGCCTTAGAGTATTATTATATAGATGACTAAAACCGTAGACACGTGTAGCTCTGATGAGTACATACGGGATGAGTGGCGATAATCACGCTGCTAGCCAAAAACACAAGACTATGGAACGCCGTGATTGGCGCTTAGAGAAAAACAAACCATGGAGACCACAAATGTCATATCGCAGGTGCGAGGTTACTTAAAATATGCACGTAATTTACAAGACAAAAAGGAAGTGCCGATAAAAATGAAGGAAGGAAATGCTGATAACTTGCAATTCCTAAAAGTTTGTTGACCCCACAATAAATGGGTGTATGGAACACTACAAGTTGTTTGTTTTTTTTCATCTCATATTTCTTTGCTCTTGCCACACGCAAATTTACCTTTTTTTTGTTTGTATTTTCCTCTCTCTCTCTCTCTTTCTCTCCCTTTCTCTTTCTCTTGCTTTAAAACTAAAAGCCGAAGTAGAGGTTAACAATTTTGCATTAATGACAGTTAGAATATTTAGAACAAAAATGTCGTGTATACTTGATAATACTATTCACTCTATTCAACCTGTCCTGTCCCATAACCAGATTGAGGAGCTCAATCACATGACGGCAGATCTGGGTTCTGATGCATCCTCTCATTACGCGAGAGGTCTCTGCTCCATGCCAAATCTTCGATCACTGGATCTGTTCCGTGTGAAGCTGAGTGATGAGTTCTACTCAACAATGGCCTCTGAGGCATCAAGATCAAAGGTATACCATACACGATTTCTATTGGAAATGATTTGTTTCCATATAGTTTTGCATTCTTCAAACTCGACTTTGGGGGGTAACTGTTTTTTCACACTTTTTTTTTAAAGAAATCGTTTATTTTCATTAGCTATGTTCACTCTCAAATCAATATTATGAATAGTTCGGCTATGCTGACGAGGAAATAAATACCTGTAAATAGAATGAACTTCGGTTTCATAATGAAATAGATTCATATAACAGTGTGTTTAACAAGCACGTATCCAACAAATAATATTTAGCAATATTGTTTCAGAAATTATTAAAATTTTGTCAATAGCCGCAGGAAACATGTAAATAGACGGATATAATATTTTATTTTGTTGAAAAGACACGTTCTCTCTTTATCAACCATCTATAATATTATTGATGACATTTGTTTGTCTTTCTTCATCTCCCTTTTTTTTTCTTCTACCACACCCATTTCCCATTGGGCCGTTTTCTTTCTATCTCTTTCTGTCTCTGTCTCTGTTCCCCTTCTCTCTCTCTCTCTTTCTCTCTCTCTCTCTCTCTTTCTTTCTCTTGCTTTAAAAGCCGAAGTAGAGGTTAACAATTTTGCATTAATGACAGTAACAATACTTATCAGACATGTCGTGTATACTTGATAATATTATTAACTCTATTCAACCTGTCCTGTCACATCACCAGATTGAGAAGCTAAGGAGAGGAGAGTTACTAAGAAAATTATGATAGACTATCGTTACGGGACGAGACCAAAGTCCCGCGAGACCTTGGAGGGGGGGGGGGAGAATACCATCTAGCCCCTCGCAGAAATGAGGAGACTTTGTGTGTCACTGTGGACCAGATTTGCATCATAGCGACCCCCTCTCCTTTAATGAAATACATACCTTATTTTGCGTTTTCTAATTTTGAACTTTGCATTAAGGACACTTTTGGTCACACAGGCAATTAATTAAAGTCTAAGCCCAATATTCACACCTTCTTTCATCTCTGATGGCGATAATCAGCGTTAAATTATCAGGTAGATAATTATTCCGATTTCGGGGGAATACACCCTCCCCACCTATACATGTGTCAATTGTACAAGGGCATCAGCGCCATGCCCCCCCCCCCCCCCACCAGTACGCCAGTGTCTACAAGAGACCCATCCTTAGAGTAGAATTGCATATTAAGTAGCCTCTTTGCACCAGCGTATGTAAACAGGGCAGGGGATGGAGGTTGCAGTCCCCCTATTATTGAATTGTGAATATTCTCAAAATTCAAAAAGAATCATGAATCATGTGAATAGACTGCATTTCTAAATGCGTATTTTTAAAGCACTTATCCTTTAAACAGAATTTCGCAATTTGATTTTAGAAGTTATTTAGAATTTGTCAATAGTCTCAAGGAGATATTACATGTACACTGTAAAAAGAAAGTTATAACATTTGCATTCTTCTTGAACAGCTACTCTCTCTCTCTCTCTCATCACGAATCATGTGAATAGACTGTATTTCAATCTCATAATGATATAAACTCATATAAATGTGTATTTTAAAAGCACGTATCCCATAAATAGAACTTCGCATTTTGATTTTAAAAGTTATATATAATTTGTCAATAGTCTCAAGGAGATATTACATGTACACTGTAGATAGTATGATATAACATTTTCTTCTTCTTGAACAGCTACTCTCTCTCTCTCTCTCCCTCTCTCTTTCCCGAATGTCATAATGAATTAGGTTTATAAAACAACGCGTTTATAAGGCACGTATCCTATAAATAATATTTCAATTTTGGTTAAATATTATTTATGTTTTGTCAATTGTATTAATGAGATATATCAAGTACACTGTAGAGGGAGAGATATAACAATTTATTCTGCTTGAACAAAAAGTTTTCCCTTTATCAAATATATATAATTTATCTCAGTTTTTTTTTTCTTCTCATATTTCTTCGCTCTTGCCACACGCAAATTTCCCTTTTTGTTTGTTTGTATTTTCCTCTCTCTCTCTCTCTTTCTCTCCCTTTCTCTTTCTCTTGCTTTAAAACTAAAAGCCGAAGTAGAGGTTAACAATTTTGCATTAATGACAGTTAGAATATTTAGAACAGAATGTCGTGTATACTTGATAATACTATTCACTCTATTCAACCTGTCCTGTCACATCACCAGATTGAGGAGCTAACGCACTGTGGCGCAGATCTGGGTTCTGATGCATCCTCTCATTACGCGAGAGGGCTCTGCTCTATGCCAAATCTTCAATCACTGGGTCTGGACAATGTGAAGCTGAGTGATGAGTTCTACTCGACGATGGCCTCTGAGGCATCAAGATCAAAGGTATACCAAACATGATTTTTATACGAAACGAAATGTTGACATCTTTGCATTCTTCAAACTCATCTTGTTGGGGTAACTGTTTTTTACACTATTTTAAAAGAAATCGTTGAAAAATTTGAAATGTTGTCAATAGTCACAAAAGACGGATATAACACTTTAATGAATTATGTTGAAAATACACGTTCTCTCTTTATGAACCATCTATAATTGATGAATTTTGTTTGTCTTTATTACTTCATCTCGTCTTTCTTTTCTTCTACCACACCCATCCCATTGGGCTGTTTTCTTTCTACATTTCTTTGTCTCTGTCTCTGTCCCCTTCTCGCTCTCTCTCTCTCTCTTTTCTTTCTCTTGCTTTAAAAGCCAAGTAGAGGTTAACAATTTTGCATTAATGACAGTAAGAATACTTAAATCAGACATGTCGTCTATACTTGATAATACTATTCACTCTATTCAACCTTTCCTGTCTCATCACCAGATTGAGAAGCTAGCGCACTTTGGCGCAGATCTGGGTTCTGTAGCATCCTCTCATTGCGCAAGAGGTCTCTGCTCCATGCCAAATCTTCGATCACTGGATCTGTGGTCAATGGAGCTGAGTGATGAGTTCTACTCAACGATGGCCTCTGAGGCATCAAAATCAAAGGTATACAAAACACGATTTCTATTGGAAACGAAATGTTGCTATTTTTTCATTCTTCAAACTCAACTGATGAGGTAACTGTTTTTGCACACTTTTTTCATTAGCTATGAGCACTCTCATATTAATATTATGAATAGTTCTGCTTTGCTGACAAGGAAATAAATACCTGTGAAAAGAATGAACTTTGGTGTCATAATGAAACAGTTTCATATAAAAGCGTGTTTTAAAGCACGTATCCAACAAATAATATATATATATATTTTTATATTTCAAACTTTTATTGCTTCTTCATGTCAACGAGGAATAACAAAAATACATTCATAGGCGTTTTACAAATCTTATAATAGTACATAAGTCAGAATCATAAGTGTGAACATAAATGGATAAAGGCAAATGAAAATGAGTAAGACCTTATAAACTACACTAAGGGTTTCCATTTTTTAAGATGAACATGCAGTTTCCCTTTACGTAAAGCAAAAATTGGTTCAATTTTCTCAAGGTAAAGCATATCTGCCTGAAACTGACTGAAAATTAACATTTTATCAAAATATTTGTTTCTTTGAATAAAATATTTACCATAAAATATAACCGTGTTTACAAAAATGTTTCCTGGGTGTACGCCAAAACAGATATCTAGTTTAGATAGTGCAGGATAAAAACATATGCATCAAATTTTGGTGAGGTCTTTATAACAATACGAAAGAGAAATTAGTTGGTAGCAATTCTCCGGTGAATGAATTTAAATTGGAATGTTCGATTTTTGTATCTAAATTTGTCTTGAATACTTTAACAAAACGGTCTTGCCATTGAATTAAATTCTCTAGACTTAAATTAAAATCATCCCATTTTCTCAAATGGTTTGTCTTTCCCAAACTCAATGATATTTTTTTCATATATAACAAGTAACAACATTTAGAAGGTTTCTTTTTTGACAAAAATGTACTAAGTTTGTTATTCTTTGGGTAAAAACTTTCTTCCAAGTTGACCTGATTGCATAAACAATAGCACTATAATTCATAAATTGAGTTAAATTCAGTTGAAAATCATGTTGAATTTCGAAAAATGTTTTGAAGCTACCGTCTTCTTTCAAAATATCGTGAACATATTTAACTCCTGAATCATACCATTTTCCATAAAATAAAATTCGACCGTCTACCTTGATGGCAGAGTTATTCCAAATAAGTTGTGACACAATATCCTTGAATTTAACCGGATTGTAGTACTTATAATAGGACCATGCCGTTAAAACCCTAAGTCGTTAACCTGCGCACAATAAATAAATTATGCACAAACAAACTTTAGTACGCAAATCTATCACTAAGCACGGATGTGCTTGTGCTTTCTTTTTTATCTGGTCTTCTTACTCTTGCCTTCCGACTCCTCCCTGTGAATTTCTTTCTTTCCTCTCTAAAGAAATACAAATAGACTACCTATTACGTGGCACTACTCTTACCTTCTCATCATTCTCATCCTTTTTTGTGTTTCATCACATGCTTCTTTTTTTTTTCTTTTTTTTTCTTGTCATCTATTTTATTTTTCTATCATTCATTATACGCTTGTACAAATACTATTAGACCATCTTCGGCGTGTTGTCCGGTTTTCGCGTGTTTGTTCCCGGAGAGTCTCCGGACGCGCGGGTTCGGCTGCCTATACCGGATCTTTGTGTTTTTTTTTTGTCGGGGCCTGTTCGGTGCGCAATGTTTTATGTTGCTCGTTGCTAGGTCGGACAGACCTTGAACTTGCTCGACCTGGTAACGGCAGACTGTTGTACGCTGAATGGGCCTTCGCGGGGGAGACCCGGGGATCTGGCGCGGGCGGGTGGGTTCGCGCGTCTCTGGTCTCTGTGGGAGCGGACATGTGCAGAATTTGATGCACGTTGTTGATGGTCCATTATTTAATTTATACTGGGAATCTCGCTCAACAAGCCTAGCTTTTCTGAGATTCCCTTTTTTCCCCTCTCAGTTAAATCAAGCAATTTAAAATATGTTGTCTAATTCTCAAACATAAATGTACTTTGTAAACTTATTTGATTACGAACATACTTGTCAGTATTTCGTTCCTTGTATAATTCATTTGTTCTAATATATATTGTATTACTGTATGGTTTATATATGTCAATAAATTTGTGGATATTTGAGTGGAAAATAAATCAAATCAAATCAAAAATCAAATCAAAAAACATCCAACCAGAATTGATTTATTGAAAAGGAATGTATATCTCCCGCCTGAAAGTTAAAACTAAAAACTAATTCTTCCCCATAATGTTTCATTTGGCATTGACATTTTTTTTCTCCAAATGGCCTTGTTTTGTTTATCCAAAACTCTCTTTACCCATGCAACTTTGAGTGCACTACAAAAGCTCTTAAGATGGGTCATTTGCAACCCACCATCTTCATATGTATTAAACATAATATTTCCTTTGATCCTATCTGTTTTTCCACTCCATAACAAATTAAAGCACATCCTTTGCAATGTAACAAAAAATATATTTGGTGGATCTGGCAAATTACTAAATAAATAAACAAATTTAGGTGTCGTGGATGAGTGGATACGTCGCCGGACTGCCGATCACAAGGTCCGCGGTTCGAGTCCCGCCGCGGCACTAATGTCATTTGGCAAGACATTGATCTACATTTGCCACTCTCCACCCAGGTTTTAAATGGGTACCGGTAGGAAGGAATTCCTTAAAATGCTGTGAGCGTCGAAATCGGCAGCCTAGCATAGCCGGGTAATGTTGGAGCGCCTTGAGGACCTTGCAAGGTCGATACGTGCGCTATATAATATTATTATTATTATTATTATTATTATAACTAGTGATTTAATTACTGTGATTTTCCCAAGTAGGGTCAAGTTTCGACAGTTCCATACCTTAAAAAGTGTTTTAGCTTCTTTTATCTTAGCCTCAAAATTGATTGAATAGATATCTGATAAAAAATCAACGGGAATGTTAATACCTAAGTAATTGATAACATTATCGACCCATTCGACAGTCAAATGATTAAAATAACATACCTGTAAAATTTCCCAATCTCACGATTTTACTCTTATTAACATTGATTTTCAAACCAGAAATATTTTGGTACAACGATAAAATATCGAAGCAATTCGAGAGATTAAGTTCAGCGGCTGCAAGATAAATAAGGGTATCATCTGCGTATTGACTTATCCTCACTTCATTGCCTTTAAAATCAATACCCTCTATCTGAGTACTCTGTCTAAACATGATACCTAGAATTTCAGCTCCGATTAAAAACAAGTAGGGGGAAAGACGGCATCCTTGTCTAACCCCCTTTGTAAAGTAAAAACTGATGACGAGTATCCATGATACCTAGAATTTCAGCTCCGATTAAAAACAAGTAGGGGGAAAGACGGCATCCTTGTCTAACCCCCTTTGTAAAGTAAAAACTGATGACGAGTATCCATTGTTTATGACACAACTTTCAATATCGTTATACATCATTTTAATCATGGATTTGAAAGTACATCCAAATCCAAATTTGGTTAAACATACACTGTCGCTCATAAAGTTGGAATATTTTTGTTTTACCCCAATTTATGGAATTATTTTAAAAATAATTTAAAAATAATAGATCTAGATAATAGTATACATTCTCAGATTTTATTGAATAATAATTTGACAATTTGTGTTTTGCGTGACTGCTAAAGCATGTGTATGCTACTATGCTTTTCAACTAGGGTACCTACGCCCTTAAGTCATAAATGACAGTAATGAGGATTAATGTTCCACAAAAGGGCACTAATATAGCACATCGACACGGTTTTGATCCTGGGGCCTCACAGTTACGAGGCCATTGCTTGGTCACTGAACCACGACTGTACGCAGCGGGGGCTAGGGTAGGGGGCAGTTTCCATAAATATAAAAAACAAAGAAAATGCAATAAATTTTCAATATTTTATTACATTTTACCCCGGTCCCCAACATAACAAAATCCTTTGTGTGCCCATGCCTTGAGCCATAATGCCTGGCCGTCCAGAGGATTTTTTTTATGTAGGGGATATTTTGTCGAATTTGTTCAAAACTAAAACCCTGTAATAAAGCATGGTTATAACGCGCAGTCTTTACTCCAGACCCGGTTATTTCAAAAATTAAAAAAATCTTCAAAACTAAGACCCCATAATCCTTTTCCTGTGGAATAACATGAGAATCGAGCGTAGTCTTTCCTCCCGACCCGGTTATTCAAAAGTTTAAAACAAAAATAAAAAAATAAAAAACTTTTAAACTAAGACCCTGTTACACCCACAAATGTAATAACGCCCACAAAAGTAATAACACTTTACCCACGGATATAATAACACCCACAAATGTAATAACACTTTACCCACAAACGTAATAACCACTTTACCCACAAATGTAATACGTAATTTTGAAACACCCACAAATGTAATAATGACTTTACCCACAAATGTAATACATTTGAAGGGATATTTTGTCGAATTTGTTCAAAACTAAAACCCTGTAATAAAGCATGGGTATAGCGCGCAGTCTTTACTCCAGACCCGGTTATTTCAAAAATTAAAAAAATTAAAAAACTAAGACCCCATAATCCTTTTCCTGTGGAATAACTTGTTGTTGTTGTTGTTGTTTTAATTTATAGGCGTTTTTCATTCAGAAGTGAATATTTACGCCTCTTCTCTCAGGATTTTTATTCCTTTAAAATTAGATTTACTTTTTTTGATATATAGATTTGGATAAATTGGATTTTTAAAAGCTAAACTTTTATTTAATGATGAAGAATTCAGTGGCTGGCGAGCAAAAGGCTTATCGGCTATATAGGACGCCCAAGGACCAACTCGGACACGGTACGTAGTGACAAGCTTCTCAACTCAGCCTAATGCTGAGCCTAGGCCCTCCGACGTCCACCAATATGTCTAGTCGTCTCCATCGTGTTTCTTCAAAATTTTGACCGAAAACCAAAAAATAAAAAAAACAGATCATGATACATGAAGATTTTAAACGTTAATATAGACAGTTCTCTCTTCTAATTTCTTTTTTTCTTTTTTTCTTCTTCTTTCTCACTCTTCTTCTTCATGTACATGTATACTCACTATAAAAAGCGAAACATATTGGGCTCAAATAATTATGTGCGGTGCAAGGTGGTTAGTAGGGGTACAGGTGTACCCTTTTAGATCTAACTACGAAGTTAACCAGAGCCTGTTGGTGATTAATATCTGTTGATTTCAGGAGTATTGGGATTAATTCTTCGTTTTCTATTCCAGATTCTGTTATAAGCATGGCTCTCTCTATAAGAAAGAGTGGGCACTTACATAAAAAATGTTTAACTGTTTCTTTTTGGTGCTCACAGTTTGGACAATGACCTGTCTCATGTTGATTCAACTCAAAAAGATTATTATTTAAACCTAAGTTTCCCATTCTTAGGCGATGAAGAATAGTTTCATGATATCTGTTGTTCAGGTAACACACAAATGTTTTTGATACTAGAGTTTGCGTTTCCCGTAGGGGGGATGATGTTTCATTCCATCTTTTTTGCCATATCTCTATGTAGTATTTCTTTATAACATAATTTGATTCTGCTCTGGTAAGAGCGTTGTTGATTTCTATATTTTTATTTAGTCCTGCTTTAGCAAACTTATCTGTTATCTCATTGTGTTGTAGACCACAATGACTGGGAATCCATTCGAAATAGACCTGGGTGCCCTTGTATTTTAGTTGACTACACAGGGTTAAAATTTCAAGAATGAAATAACATGAGCATCGAGCGTAGTCTTTCCTCCAGACCCGGTTATTCAAAAAAAACAAAAACAAAAACAAAAACTTTTAAACTAAGTAGCCTCAGTGTCGTTGGAGGCGGTCACCAAATTTAGTTGCTGCAATTTCTGTTTTTAAACTTGCAATTTACCCCATTTGTTTTGCTTTTTAAACTAAAATCTACGAAGATTATGTTGTTGGAGTTGATTAGGAGCAACTGTGGACAATTTTTTGTGAAATTCGACGACTGGAAACTGGAAATTAGATCGAGTTATTCCTGCTGCCGAACGCAAAAAGATCAACACGTGTACGGAGATTCCACCCACCATAGACCGCTGTGCAATACGGCCGAGCCTGTCGGCCGACCTGCATCGCGTCGCATGCCGTCATCATAGCGGCTTTTACAAAGCGGCTTTTACATAGCAGCTTTTACATAGCGGCTTTTACATAGCGGCTTTTATATTTTTAAACTTATGTTAGCCTTCAGCTTCTTATTTTGTTTTTAATAAAGTATCGCCGGATCTGCCGTGCTTTTAACTACATGTCATTTTAGTGTCATCAACCTAATTTATAGGACTAGAACTGCGGTTTCTTAACCCATTTTTAGAAGATAAAAGTGGGAAAATTTTCGCCGCCATGTTGTTTTTCGGGAACCAAGGTTTTCAGAGTATGACATGCCTAGCGGGATCGGGTTTGAGGAGAGGCAAACCTTTCTCTTTTACGGCAAACCTTTCAACATATATCTGTGTGATGCTCTTCTTGTCAGTACTACGTTTAAGTACAGATGACCAGGCGAGATTCAAGGAGCAGAGTAGATCTACTACTACTACTATAGTTCTGTTGGAGTTAGACACGGTAGGATCTTACCATTTTTTTACCATGACTTTTGTCCTCGTGATCTCAATATTATGAACTTGCGTTATCACCACTTTGAGTTTGACTTAAGTTGTGTGGAACTGCGGAACATGTATTCAATATCATTGAGCTGTGTAAAGAAACCTCAAACTGCAAAAGGGCTTAATTTAAGCACAACGCCCTTCCTAGGACCAGTAGGAGAGCCAACGATATTAACCCTAACCCTGGGCCAGAAAATGGAAAAGCCCGCAGGGGACGTAAACCTAAGTATCCTTGCGGATTGTGTGAGTATGCTGTCAAAACGAACTGTATCCAGTGCACAGGTTGTAACAAATGGTTTCACCATGCCTGTTGAGGTGCTTCAGATAGTGGCCATCCTAGTACACATAATAGATCTACTATGGTTTGGATTTGTACTACCTGTGACGACTTAAATATAACTAAATCTAGAAACGATTCTACTGCTTATGTTTACTCTAACAATTGTGACAATTCATTGCTACATGTTAGTCTTAACGAGAACGACACGGGAAAAGATTTGTACCCTGACTTCGACGTGGATGCAGATCCACCGCCGATCCTCACCATCAGCTGCCCAAGACAGGGTTCCCGTCAACATCGACATCAACCGCAAGTTGATATAGCTGATATAGCTGAAGCGAAATCCAACAACTTACAGAGTCGGAAATGAGTGCCTACACTCAAGATTGCCAACTCATTGGATGGTTGGAGAATAGTTCAACATGTTTCCCCAATAAAAATATGTAAATCCTCGGGAAAATGGACACTAAATAAAAAGGACTCTACATCTACATGTAATAATGATACCAGAAGGCAACATCCTAAGGTTAAACTTAATTCGACCAATTGTTCTCTGAACTTGGCCATTTTGAATTGCCGCAGTGTCCGAGGGAACGCTTCAATTCTACAAGCAACCATTGATAACGAGAAACTGGACATTCTGGTCGGCACAGAGTCATGGCTTGACCAAGATATTGGCTCTGCCGAAATTTTTCCTAGGAACTTGAACATTTTTCGTAAAGATAGGAACTCCAATGGAGGGGTGTCTTTATAGCCATCAACAAGGACATTCCATGTTTTGAAAGGAAAGACCTATCAGAAGAGGGAGTCGAACTCATTTGGTGTCAAGCCTCGATTTCTGGCGAAACTGTTCTGTTGGGAGCATTCTATAGACCACCAGGAGAAAGCGCTACGCCTATTGATAAGTTGAGGGAAAACTTACTCAAGATACACAGCAGCACCAGATCTCCTCATGTAATTCTTGGCGGCGACTTTAACGTCCCAGGATTGACCTGGAGCACTTATGATGTTACTTCACCAAAGGGAAGTCTTCAGAAGTCCTTACTGGATCTTATTGATGACAACCACTTATCCCAGATGGTTACCTTCCCAATAAGACATCACCAAAATGGAACAGAGAACACGCTGGATCTCTTACTAACAACACATCCTTCCCTAGTCACAGATGTGAAGCCAGTTGCAGGCCTCAGTGACCATTGTATTGTTAAAGCAAAGTTCTCTACCCTTACCAATCTTCTGAAAAAGCCACCGCGCATAATGCAACTATGGAAGAACGTAGTCCCCGATGACTTCAAAGACAAAGTTCGGAAACTGAAAGCAGATTATTTTGAGAGAAATCCTGATTCAAAATCGGTTGAGGAAAACTGGTTGTGTTTCAGGGATAATCTGAAGACAATAGTCTCGGACACAGTACCTACCAAAACAGCCAAGGAGAATATACGTAAGCCTTGGTTCACACGCACACTCAAGCGACTGTGTAGCAAGAAAGAGAAAGCTTACATCAAAGCAAAGCGTTCTGGAAATCACCAAGACTGGATTGATTTTACAAACATACGCAAATATGCTAGTAAATCCATCAGATCTGCACACAGGCAATACATCAAAGAGTTGACGGAGGACGCGAACACCAAGAATTTCTGGCGATATATACGCTCAACAAAAAAGGACAATGTCGGCATTCAAACCCTGAAAGTCAATAATCAAACTCTCACCAATGCCCGAGACAAAGCGTTTGCACTATCAAGCCAGTTTGAAAGCGTCTTCAATCGAGAGAGCCAAGGCCAAAAGCCTCAACCAACCATGACTGGAAATCCCTTCCCGGAGATGCCACCCATAATTGTCGATACAGAAGGAGTTAGGAAGCTGTTGCGGAATATCAATACCTCAAAGGCTATAGGTCCAGATCAAGTCCCGAATCAAGCCTTGAAGTTAGCAGCAGATGAAATTGCTCCTGTACTCCAGCATCTATTTCAGCAATCACTCGACCTGGGTAACCTCCCGGAGGATTGGAGGAAAGCAAACATCACACCCATCTACAAGAAAGGGCCCACAACAAATCCAGCGAATTACCGTCCGGTCTCTCTAACGTGTGTTTGCTGTAAGCTCCTGGAACATCATTGATTCAAATCGTATGACCCATTTATCAAAATGGGACATACTCTCTGATAACCAGCATGCTTTCAGAAAGGCAAGATCTTGTGAAACTCAGCTTATCTTGACAACTCATGATCTTACAAAGAGTATTGATACTGGACTGACAACAGATGTAGCTATACTGGATTTTTCGAAGGCCTTCGATGTGATGCCGCATCAAAGCCTTCTCACTAAACTGGACTTCTACGGGATTAGATCCAAAACCAAAAAGTGGATATCATCCTTCCTTACTAAGAGATCCCAGAGGGTCATGATTAACGGCGAGTGTTCTGACTGGGTTCCCGTCCTTAGTGGGACTCCACAGGGTACGGTCCTCGGGCCTCATCTCTTCCTCCTTCATATCAATGATATTGAAAATGGTGTGAAGAGTACTACCAGACTCTTTGCGGATGATTGCTTAATCTACAACACCATAAGATCACCCAAAGATGAGGAAATACTGCAAACGGATCTTAACACCTTGGTCAACTGGGCCAATACCTGGGGAATGACTTTCAACCCGAGCAAATGCACAACTATGCGAGTCACGAGGAGCAGGAAACCAAACAGAACATCCTACCAGATGATGGGAGTCAATCTCGAAGAAACCACACACACCAGATACTTGGGTATAATCATACAAAATGATATGAGATGGAACATGCAGGTTGAAAATTCAAGAAGTAAGGCCATGAAAGTAGTCAACTTTTTGAAAAGGAACTTCTATCAATCTTCAACAAAAACAAAGGAGAAGCTGTATTCTATGCTCCTGGTTAAACCTCATCTTAACTATGCTTCTTCAGCCTGGAATCCATATACGAGCACCAACATCAGCAACATTGAGAGAGTCCAGAATGCAGCAGCTAGATTCGTCAAAAACACTTATACAAGATATTCAAGTGTCACTGCTTTGAAGGACTCAATGGGTTGGATCCCCCTCCAGGAGGAAAGACGGAAGTCTCGTATCACCTGTTTGTACAAAATGATTCACGACTTGATGGACATCAACTACAAGAATTACATCTCACCCAAGGTAGAACGAACAAGACGGGGCCATGACCAACAATTCTATATCAACAAAGTCAGGACGGACGCATACGGTTACTCATTCTTCCCAAGGACAGTTAAGGACTGGAACAGTCTTTCTCCCTCAATTGTAGCCCAACCTTCCTTAAATACTTTGAAATCTGCGCTTAAAACCAACTTAAAACCAGCACCTTAAGTTGGTGGCCGCACACAACGACACACCTCCAGTTTAAACACCTTTACGGCGTCTTTTGGAGGAATCCTACCAAGTACCAAGTACCAAGTACCAAGTACAAGTACCAAGTATCTTCTAAACTAAGACCCGGTAATAAAGCATGGGTTTAGAGCGTAGTTTTTCTTCCAGACCCGGTTATTTCAAAACTTTTTTAAAATCTTCAAAACTAAGACCCCATCATCTTATTCCTGTGGAAGAACATGAGTATTGAGCGTAGTCTTTCCTCCAGATCCGGTTATTCAAAAGTTAAAAAAAAAAAAAAACAAAAAAAAAAAAACAAAAAAACAAAAAAACAAAAACCTTTTAAACTAAGACCCCTCCATCTTTCAAATTAAGACCCGGTAATTAAGCATGGGATTAGAGCGTAGTCTTTACTTCTTACTTGGTTATTTAAAAAAAAAAAAATCTTCAAACTAAGACGTCACCATCTCATTCCTGTGGAATAACATGGGTATAGAGCGTAGTCTTTCCTCCAGACCCGGTTATTTCAAAAGAAATAGAAATTTAAACAAATCTTCGAAACTAAGACCCACCATCTTATTCCTCTTTTTTTTCATTTAAAAATAAACTACATTATTACATATGTGGATACAACACGTCACAAATAAATGATTGGTCGGCGGTCACACGAACTGACGAATCAGTCAAAATGGTCCATATATATATAACACACAGAGGAGGGACCGATTCGATGGTTCGTTGACCGTCGACGATTTTTTTTTAATCATGTAAATATTCTAACGCCCACACATATCCTGGAATTCAATGTCCTTTGGCAAGACATTGATCTACATTTGCCACTCTCCACCCAGGTGTTAAATGGGTACCCGGTAGGATGCGAAAGCTAATGTGCCTAGATTAGCAAGTGTGCGCTTGTAAAAATGATGCACTGGCTGGAATGCTCCCCAGGGAGTGGAAAATGTGTATACATTGTGTGCGGGTAAGCCTGAATCCGATGACCGGGGTAATAATATGATTGCAGGATCCTCAGGGAGAACAGTATGAATACTAATGAGGCTACCCTGGGTAAACAAGACATATTATTATTATTATCATTATGTTCGTAGAAAAAAAAGTAATCGAATAAGTGACCTTAAATGTATTTAAATATTGACGCTGATTGTTTTATGCATGTGATTATGAAATATGTTCACGATATGTAACATATATATATGTACGCTATTAGTGACATTGAAACGTTGGATTGCGATATTATATTTTCATGAGTGCGTGAATGAATTACCTTTCTTCATGTGATGAACGTATCAATTACTTATACTGAAGACTTCCAATTGGTACGCGGTACCCGGTATGAATTCATGAGAACGAAATTTATTCAAAGGCAAATACAAACAAAACACATTTATATTACAGTTTTCCCTACTTCTGAAACACTCAAGCAGCTAAATAAACAAGAACAAGTCTGAAATGATAATCGGTTAACAAGCAAATAACAACGCATACTTTCATATAACAAATCTTAAATAGCTGTATAACGAGATCACGCGAAACATATTTGCATGTTTTGAATGAACGATTGCAGAACCCTTTGACTGATAAAATATCTATATACCCTCTCAATCAATGCGAGTAAATTGCAGAGGTTATGGTTTTACAGTGATGCAATGATGGATACATAGATTTTGTAAGATAGAAAGTATTTTATTCCAAACGAATGAAGAGGTTGTTTCATTAATATACAGACGAACCATCGAATCGGTCCCTCTGTGTGTTATATATATATGGACCATTTTGACTGATTCGTCAGTTCGTGTGACCGCCGACCAATCATTTATTTGTGACGTGTTATATCCACATATGTAATAATGTAATTTATTTTTAAATGAAAAAAAGAGGAATAAGATGGTGGGTCTTAGTTTCGAAGATTTGTTTAAATTTCTATTTATTTTGAAATAACCGGGTCTGGAGGAAAGACTACGCTCTATACCAGTTTCCATTGGTGGTGCTAGGTCGGTGCACGTGGCTGTCTGTCTGTTGCTTGTTGCAATTTTTTTTTGGATATTTATCGGATTTTCACGGGACTTTCCATACTTTCGACTCTAGTTTCAGATAGGAAATGACTTGCTAAAGGTAAGCGAACATTTTGGGCTCATTTTATACATAATTCTGCACCATAAATAAGTTAACAAATCAAAGTAGATTTAAATCTCCCGCCGCACGCGGCGCGGACCATGAACCCCGACGACTCCTCACTTAACGCTATGGCAGATATTGATTCAGGCAACCAAGCCAAAGATTTAGGAATAGAGCTAAAAGACGGATTCCAGACAGTCACGTCTGCAAGTGTTCGAAGAAAAAAAAGAAAGATACGTGAAGGAAGTATCAATGTTGAGAACCTATCACTAAAAGAGGATTCGTCATCAGATAATATGGAACCACAAAACTCAGTATTTCGTAACCAAAATCCAGTAATTCTAATAGCAACTGACCAAGATCTAAAGCTTTTCATTACACCTATTGACAGGGAAAAATCATTAAGAAACGTTAGCATGTTAAAGATCGCAAAATCTATCCAAAACTGTATCGGCTCATCGCCAGAATTTATAAAGTCTACCCGGAACGGAATTCTCGTTAAATGCAAGGATACGAAACAACATAAGAAATTGTCTGATATACAAATCATTGATAACGTACCAGTGAAGGTCAATTTGAAACTTGATTTGAAGAAAGGTGTCATATCAGATATACCGACTGAGATGTCAGAAAAAGAAATAGAAACAGAACTAAAGAGTCAAAAGGTAGTTAACGTGAAAAGAATAGTAAGGAAAAATCGAAAGAGGGAAGAACCTCAAGATGGGAATTTACATGTAGATTTAGTTCCAACTCGGAGTGTAATTGTTTCATTTGAAGCTACAGTACTTCCCCAAGACATCATTCTTTGTTTCCAAAGAATAAAGGTCAAACCCTATATACCTTCAAGCCCCAGGTGTTTTAAATGCCAAAGATATGGCCACACCATAGCTGTTTGCAAACAGAAACAGAGATGTGTCAGATGTGGAGAGGAGCATAGTTTCGACGATTGCGTAAAAAAGGACACTCCCAAATGTGTAAATTGTGGAGGTGAACATTCCGCTGCATATAATGGATGCGAACAAGCACAAAAAGCGCAAGAAGTACAAAAGATAAAAGTGCTGAATAATCTCAGCTATGCTCAAGCTGCTCGCCAATTGAAAGAAGAAAAAGATAATATGCAAGCGCAAGCTCCAATACCATTGGATCGTAAACTAGCTCCTCACCAACAACATCTAAACACCGCAAATAATCCCCAACCATCTGTTGATCTTGGTTTAAATACAGTAAAGCAAAACCACCCCACCCCCAAGTCGATAACTCTCATGTGTTTCCGGATCACACCCCAAAGGCAGATCCTCCCTTGCCACAACGCCAAGATAGGCAAACTAGCGAAAAAAACAGGGCGACCGTCTTCACAAATCAAGGAAAATTTTATAACTAAAGCAACAAATGAGGAATTGATAACCTTCTTTCTTCACCTAATGATCCAAATTATGAAAGATAAGTCAGAAGGAGAGGTGTTGTCTTTAATTAATTAAAGGAACTAAGATGGCATTCCGCATCCTACAGTGGAATGCACAGGGATTAAAGGGACACGGGGATGAGTTATTGCTCTACTTAAACTCTATAAAAAGTGAAACCATTCATTTATTATGTATTCAGGAAACATGGTTCCGCGATCACGACAAAATAC